AAAATTTACATTTCTCGAAAATTTTTAACAATGTATTGCATGTACATTTATTTTGCTTCACAAGAAAATCTAATTAGCTTTTCCGTCTGGATCTTTCTTTATTGCTGGCTGATATATTTTAATCAATAGCAAAAATCGGCACAGCCAGATATATATATACATAGAAGTGTATGCCTGCAATAATGCCCATTCCTTATGATGGACGACAGCAAAGGAATAATCGATAAGAGAGAGGATTAAATAAAAACACGGAAAATTGCGCTTAAAAATGTGCGACTGAAAATCTTTTCTTTAACTCGCTAACATGCATAAATATGTCATATTAAATGAATTTATAAAATCTTTCATTACACATTCAAGGAAATATGCCTACGGAAATTGTTCTCTTTCTGAGAGAAATTATAATGAAGTAAAGGAATAACATTTTATTGCTCCTTCTTCTCTTACTAATACATTTTTTTGAGAATTTGGAATTTACATGCTATGATTAACTATAATCGTATTTATCGTTTTTTCAAGTTTAAGCAATTTCTCTCTCTAATAACACACACATATATATGTATAGTCAAATGTATTTTTAGCATAAGCTTTTAAACGTTCCTCTTACTTCTAATATATATATATATATATGTGTGTGTGTGTGTGTGTGTGTGTGTGGGTAAGATAAAGAATATGTAAATCAGCTTTATAATTGAAATTAGTGATAGCCTCCTAATTTCTCATTTTTCATTCGGTTATTTCCTCTTTATCCCAAAAATAATAATAACATTTCAGGACTGCGTCATTTCTAGATTAATCTGTGTGCCAGAACTTGCGTAATGCTGATGACGTAATTATTTCGGAACTTAAACTCTGAAAACTGAAACTTTTCTTAACGTAAATCAAAACTAACCTTCTTTTGATGAGCGGCTAATATGGGATAACCAAATCCTATTAGCTCCTAGACTCATCAGAACCCTTCACATTACATTGAGTCCCGCACGCGTAAAAAATATTTTAACTCAAATGTGATTAATCATCTGAAATTTAAAAGAAAATCTGATGTGGACATCACACGACTTCCTTGCATGGCCTGTTAAAATATGTACATTTTTATCTGCACTTCTTTTAAAATTATTTCCTCAAATTTCATTAGAGATATATTGCTCAATCAAATCAAATCAGTTCTCACTTCGCTACAAGGCGAAACATCTTCATTAAAAATTGTAAAAAACAGAAACATCTAAAACACCAAATACAGTTAAAAACAGTTAAAATAATTTACAATTAAAATTATAGCTTCTACGCAAAAACAAGCACTTCGACCAACGAGCAGGAAGAGCACATTTTCGATGTAGAAAATTTCAAGTCAACTTTTGTTCCCATTGGGCAAAAAAGACACTGAAGTTGAGGCACAGACTAACTGAATTCAGTATTTATTTTATCTAGAGTTTCAAGTGTAAATAAATGGCGGCCTCGTTAGCCTAGCTGCACTTAAACTTTTAAACTGTTGTTAATTCTACAATTATTGCATGTATATTAACTAAAAACATAAAACCCTTAACTGGAACATGAGACCAAAATAATTTTACACTTTAAAGCAAAAATTGCTCAATTTGCCGACATGTAAGAATGAAAATACTGAGCTCACGCATCCGGGTGACATGGTAGGAATATACGTATATATATAGAGAGAGAGAGATTGCTAGATAGATAGTATACATGTATGCGTTTGCTGTCTCTGATTGCAACGAAAACGATAAATGCACTACTACATTTTAAAACAATCACATATACAAAATTTCAAAGTTCTACAGCTGTTCATTGTTGAATTACGCAAGATACATACCTACATAGAGACCAGGGCTGTGGAGTCATGGAGTCAGAATTAGAGTCGGGTAGATTTTTGGGTAAAAGGAGTCGGATTTGAAATCTCTAAGAAACACGTTGACTCCGACCCCAGTTTTTGTTGAACAGTTTGAATTTGAAATGAAATTAAAGTAACTTGGAAAAACATTAATGACAAACTGAGTTAATATTTTTATTTATGGACTATATACATTAATAAATAGTTATTTTCTATTTTATTGGCATATTAGTAAATAAATATAAGAGAGCAGGATGATGTGATATTTGCCATTATTGATTAAACTGATTCATTTAGTTACTAATCTCATTGATGACTAGCAATAATAAAGAGGCAAGAACTCCCAAAATTGATGCCATTTTTAGGAAGTGAGCCGGAAAAGGATAAACGCAATGGAGAAGTACATATTTGATGATACAGTGGTTAGAATTAAGAACATTTTCAGAAGATGTAAATAACCCTAATATTTCACTAACAGAAAGACTGGAATGATTTTGATTTCTGGAAATCCTTCTTTCAACACCGTATATAGCCACAAAAAAGCTACAATCTGAAGAATTAACAGGAGTCGAGAATGTTAGAAGATGTACGAGGGTTGGAACTTTTAATAGTGGCAACATAGCTGAAAAAACGCTACGCAACAAAACCAAAAAATATCACGTATACCACACGTAAACTACATACCTACCTTACCTCTCAGCAAAGAGACTCGTCCTGCCTACGTCATGCGCATGCGGAGTGACGCGAAGAATGGATCCTTGTATTAGCTCGCGGTTTAACGTAAGTGTTTGTTAGGATGTTTTCAAAACAAGAACAACGATGTTGGATAAAAATTGAATGTGCCAGAGGTCGTACAGCACAACAGTGTCATCAAGGGCTTCAAGAGGCTTGCGGGGAATCTGCATTGCCTTACAGAACCATAGCAAGATTGGGGTGAAAGCATTCAATGAAGGACTGCGGCCAGGTCGTCCGAGTGTCAGCGATGCAGATGTGCAAGCTGTTGCCGCACTAATGGACAGTGATTGCCGCCAAAACGATTCGTCAGCTGGCCGGACAAACAGGATTAGCGCATACGACTGTGCTGCACATTCTGAAGAAGAAACGCCTGTCCATGAGAAAAATTGCTTCACGATGGGTTCCACATCAATTGACGGAAATGGCTACGATAACGATGCTGCCCGAACCCACGTGGAGCGCTATGAGTGCGAAGGAGATGCCTTTTTACGCCGTATCATTACGCTGGATGAGACTTGAGCCCGATCGTACCAGCCAGAACTGAAACGCCAATCAAACGAATGGCGTCATCACGGGTCACCACGATGTTTGAAATTTCGTCAGAACCCCAGCAATGTGAAAGTTATGGTGATTCTCCTGTACGACTGTGATGGTGTCATCCTAACGCATACCATTCCCCCACAGCAGACTGTCACTGCGCAGTATTACTGCTCATTTTTGGAGCACAATCTCCGACCAGCTTTGAGAAAAAAATGGCAACACTTTCTGCAGAACGCTCCTCTCATTTTGCATGACGATGCTCGGCCGCATAAAGCGCAAGCTGTGACTGATTTGTTCAAGGATGGGGCTGGGAAGTGCTTTACCATCCCCCATACTCTCCAGATCTAAGCCCTTGTGAATATGACTTAATTCCTAAGATGAAGAACCACTTCGTGGCACTCGCTTCCAAACTGTTCCTGAGATTCTTGCGGCAGTAGACCGGTCCATTCAAACTATCAACAAAACAGGCGCTGCTACAGGTATTCTGAGACTTCCACATCGTTGGAAACGGGTTGTACACAATCCTGGCGACTATATTGAAGGACTGTAAAACATGGTGACATGAATCACTTTTGTATTCCTTGTAAATAAATAGTTGCCACTATTAAAGTTCCAACCCTCGTAGATAACCCTAATGTTTCACTAACAGAAAGACTGTGGAATGGTCTTGCAGAATTTGAAACTCTTCTTTCTATACTGTATATAGCCATCAAAAAGCTACAATCTGAAGAATTAACAAGAGCAAGACTGGAAGACTGCGATGTGTTTTTTTTCTGAAATGGAGGATTTATTGCAGAAGGAATCATTTCTTCAATGAAGAAAAGAGAAACTAGTTTCCTTGACAATAAGATCGTGCTGGGTTCAATATATGTGGATCCAAAACGCCGAATTTTGTTGGATGACAAACAAATTAAAAAGGCCAAGAAAGATATCTATGAACTTTCATTAAGAATGAAATTATTCTCAGAACAACTGGAGTATTCAAATCAGGACAGTCAAACTGCAGATATTGCAACCGAGTCTTTATCATCCTCTTCCAGTGATGACTTAGATTTTGAGAAACATTTGGATAATATTGAAAAAGACTAAGGCAAAGCGAATGAAAATAACCAAGAGCCTTTAGATATAAAAATGAAAAAATACAAGCAAGATTTATACACGGCCTTTTGAAGACATAGATAAATATGATTGCTCTTACAAGACACGTACTTTTAGAACTTATAAAAATCTATCCTGAAAAGCTAATGGAAGTAGCCCTAACAATGACAGTTCTTCTTTCTACTCAAATCTCAGTGTGGAAAGACTGTTAGATCTGAAGTTTACCAAATAGGATATGTGGTCCTCTAACAAAGAAGATCCTGCCGAAGTTTTACTTTTTCTTAGAAATTACTAGTGCCAGTTTTTCCATTTCATAATAAATGCTAATTAATATAAAAAATTTGCTATGCATCAATTTTTTTCTGCAGCATCTATTACTTCTTTTATATTAAAAAAAATAAGCTGTACCTATGTGTATATGTTTGCATATACGAAGGAGTCGAAGTCGGAGTCGTTAACATTTCAGGAGTCGGAGTCGGTCATTTTCCCTACCGACTTTACAGCCCTGATAGAGACTTCACGCAAAGATCTCTTCTGTAACTATTTTAAATTCATATTAAGATCCGTTTTGAAAAATGTGTCCCTTATTCTGTCCGTGCAATATAGATGTCACGCAAAAGCATTGTTCAAGTGGATTCCAGAGCGGTCAAAATGTATATTTTAGTTGAAATATGAAAGCTGTAATTTTTCACGATTACAGAACTTCCTTTATTTCATATAAGGAAGTAAAAAAGAAAAAAAAATTAAAGAATAACTTTAGTAGCTATTTTAAAATCATTACCTGCGTCAGTCAGTATTCAGGGCCTTGTTTCGTGAGAATCTGATTTAGCGTCACGATTCATCAGCATAATCAGTTGCGCTTCTTAACTTTGATGTGTTTGGCTCAGCTGAAACAAAAATATCTATAATTCGCATAAGTTTATGTAAATGAACTTATATTTATTGTTAAAAATATAATATTATGAAAATTATTTTATGTTGCAGTTTTTAGAGTACATTTTTAGCAACAGAAGACCTAATACTCTGGACCGTCATTTTTGCTGTATATCGCTTTTCAAATCATAACACCATCATATACGTATGCAGAGGCTCGGCAGCCCCGAGCTATAAAATTGCTACTAGAATTGGTAATTGTTCTGAATTTTCATAAAAGTTTAAATTCTACCAAAGACGATTATATCGTACATAACGCTTAATATAAAATTACTCATAGAGCACAGCAAACATATAGCAATAGCTATTAAACTGCTAACAGAATTGCTGTAAATTGTCAAAAACATTTAAATTACAACTGATGGTTATACTATAGTATATAACGCTTAAAACGTTTCTTTACAATCCTCATAACGCATACAACACTTCTAACGTATCCACACTTTTGAGTCAAAGTTAAATTTTATCAGTGATGCTGAAGACCCTTATAATTTATTCTAACTTTTATGGTTTATGGCTTTTGAATGTTGTAAACAAACGTATGGACGCTTACAACGCTAAAGAGTATCATGCTGTCGAGTGTTTGCTTTTCAAACGAGGATATTTATAGCTTGTAGCACATGTACCACTTCTAATTTATCTTCGCATTTATCTCTATTTTGTGATATATAAACTCGGAAGATTATATATATATATATATATATAAACAGACAAACTTATACATGTAATGATTTTGAAGCGCTGTCGTCATGGCAGAGTGACAGGTTGGGAAGACGATCAGCTGACGCCGACACAAAAATGAATTAGACAAATTTCTAATCTTTATTTCTACGCATACAAAATCATCTCAGTAGATATTTATCCAATCATAATGAAATCCGATACATTTCTATAATTCCGTCATAATGATACATTAGAAATTTCTGTGTAAATTAGCTTTTAAAAAGAAAAGACGTAGGCATTTACCCAAGGTAAAGCGATGCGATGTTAACAGAGCAGTAGTTAGAGAAGGGAAGAATGACGCAATTAAATCGACAGCGGTATTTATACCGAGGTATAAGTAGAGCTAATCTGTGATTTGTTAATTTGAGGTTGTTACACAACACAGAAGATTATCGAATTTGGAAGAACATATGAGTTTAGGTGGAGAACAGCAAATCTAGAATGTTAACTTTGAGATCGCCAATTATTTTTAAAGCAGCTATCGTATTTAGTTGTATTCTATACATTTATAAATATAAGAAAGACTAATATATATATATATATATATACTATATGTGGGATTTTAAATCCATAGCTTAATATTTTTCCTCGCGCGCTGTCTGAATTTTAGCTGTTGACTGCACGAGTGAAATTGATAGAACTCTCGCCACTTTGTTTTATGAGAAGAGATGTAAGATGATATAGATCTTGTATTAATAGATAAACGGTGTTATAGATGCTGGATTAATAGGTGAACGATCTTATAGATGTATTAATGTTTCATTAAATGTGTTGTGTTTGAATATGAATTTTGATTTTGAAACTAAAGAACCCACATATATGTTTTATATATATATTTTCTTACATATTAGTCTCTCTTATTATTTATTTCTTATATTTTCTTAAATATAGTCTTTCTTACTATATATATATGAATAAGTCTGTCTGTGTGTGTCTCTCTCTCTATATATATATCTGTCTGTGTGTATATATATAATAAATCAAAAGGTAGTAATTAAAATCACAAATGAAATCAAGAAAGAAGTCAGTCGTCTAATCACACATATCAAAATCGTACACATATCTAAATGAAAAGGAAAATATTTCAATAATATTGAAACAAAATGAAACACCTAGGTAAGAACAGGAAAAAATTCAGATTCGTGGTTTTTGCGTTTTGATTGTGCCCGATCGAAATAGGTCTCTAAACTTGTGCTAGAAAGCATGCTCTTCTACCATGATCCGCACAGCCAAACGTTTGCAAATAATATTTCTCGAATTAAGTAAAAACATTTTGGAATTAGTAAAAAAATATTTAAATATATTGTAAAACTTATTATGCGTTAATATATTGTACATTACTAAACCAACGGCTACACCCAACGCTGAAAAAGCATAGTATATGTTACTGATTTCATAGACAAATTTTGCGAGACTTGATTGTAATTACTGTCAATAAATTAGCCTGGTATATTAAATGAGTATGTTAGCTTTAGCAGTAATGATCTATTACTGCAAGCTGATTTGTAGTTCGAACATGACTCAAGTGAATTTCCTGTCATATATTACACAAACCGTACATGTGAAGTACCTGAAATGGATCACAGAGTTTGACGATCTCTGAACAGTGTGAAAATTGTCTCATAAATTCAACAAGCATCCATTTCCTAACGTATTCAGATTTTTGAGAAATTAGCATTTTATTAAATAAGAAATTAAATTTGTTAATTTTATGTTACATTAGCAACTTATGCGGCGAGACGTCTAAAATAGTTATAAAAAATATGTATAAAATGAATTTCAATAAATTCGGATACTGAAATTTCAGACACCAGGCAGTATTTAGTGATAACAGAGACAAACTGAATTTATTGATTTTTAAACGCTTAGTTTGTTGATCTATAATGGACAGATAATATTTGTAAGAAGAATTAAAAGTCTTACGCTTTACCGAACAGCAGTACACTGGTTGGAAGATAAAAATATTTCATTTCCGAAAATGGCAACACGCTTCTTTTAAATCGCTGAGCTTGTTGATTAAGTTTTAAAGACAAATATCTTCCATTTCTCCAAGTGGCAACGCATTTCTTTTAAATTACTGAATTTTCTGATTAAATTTGAAAAACAAATATCTTACGTTTTGCCGAATGGCAATATATTGTATAAACCACTAAGTTTGTTACTTTAAAAATTCATTACATTGGCAGGAAATATGAAATAAATTATCAAAAAAAAATTTAAAGCTTCAGATTTTATATTACGCCAAAAGGGCGTTTTTCTAACGTTTTGTGAGTTATCATTATTTATTAAATATCATGTACTTAAACCATAAAATTCAATTCAACAGCAGTATCACAAAATATTTAAAAACAGCATACCTTTAGAAAATCCGATACAAAATCTCGCCCTGGAGATAAAAAAAGTTTGTCTTTTCGTACAGTATTGCCGTTGCTCGCTTTGAAATCGTTGAGTTTGTTAATCAAATGTTTAATGTTTTATAAACTATGAAATAGATAATAAAACAAATTCAAAATTTGGGCTTCCAGATGCCCATATTCGGCTGGAAATGTACGTTATTCAAAATTAGATGGCTCTGACCGCTGTTTATCACACTGGAAAACTAATACTTTTTGTCTTCAATTTTTTTTTAATATAATCAGCCTAAAATTTGTACACATTGAAAGGAACCCACAAATGCCAACAAATAATACCTTTCGGATACCCCTCTTAGGTGATACTTTTTAGTACGGTGTGGCAATCCCGAGGTACCCTAGCCCTTCAGGGATCATCTTCTTGGTGAGACGGGTGTCACGATCCTGGAGCCCCAGTGATCTATCCTCTTTTCCGTCTCCTCTCCTCTTGGCTGGAACCTTTTTCCCTTCCCTTCTCCCTTGTGGTTTCTCTCTATCGGAGGTTTGGGGCTCGTCAAACTGGAACAGCCCTTGTCTCTAGTTTTCGAGTGGCGAGAAAACTGCCCACGTGTTTGCCGTGCGTGGAGACCCGTGTCGCTGGAAAGGAGGGTCCTGGTAGTTGAGGGGCGAGGTACTGTCCCCAACACACTGCTTTGGCCTCTGCTTCAGCTAAACGGGAGGCACCTTAGTCGTCCTCACGGGTGTCAATTGGCTGGTCACTAGTCCTTATGTCAGTGGTTTGGGAATAAGCTCTCGGGAGTACCTGCTTTCGGGAAAGCCGACTGTGGAGGCTTCAGTTTGCATATAGGTCTGTCTAGTCCTAGCACAGGATTCTGTGTTCCCTTGTTGGGCTCCGTGGTGGGCGGGGCCGTCGAACCCAAATCTTTTCTCCTTCAAATATGGCTAATTCTAATAGCCATATTTGAAGGAGAAAAGATCTAATATAATCAAAGACTTTTATATAAAGACTGAAGAATATAAGAAGTCGGTCCCGTTACTCACCACAAATTCTGAAAAATCTACAGCTAAACAAGTACGTACCGATGCAAATGCAAATAATCCTAATGATTGTCACCGTTGGTTCTAGTCTCAAGTCCTTCTGGTGAAATTTAAAAGATATCTCCATTTGTAATTCACAAGTATATTCATTCCTCCATTGGTGAGCCAAGAAACATAAAGCGTTTCCGGTCTGGAGATTTGCTTATCGAAACAATTTCGGCTATACAGTCTGCCTCCCCCTTACGATTAACCAAGCTAGGGCAAATTGATGTAACTGTATCAGCACATAAAACACTTAATTTTTGTAGAGGCGTAATCTCGGAAGTCGACCTTCTGTCTGTTGCTGAAGAAGAGTTCGTTTCCGAGCTAGCCAATCAAAATGTCAGTGCTGCCAGTCGGATCAAGATGCGTAAGGAAGGTCAGTTGACTGACACGAAACACGTGATCCTGACCTTCAAATCGCCTGATCTGCCTAAGAATATTAAGGCTGGATACCTCAATTGTCCTGTACGAAAATACATTCCAAACCCGATGAAATGTTTCCAGTGCCAGCGTTTTGGTCACTCTAAGATCTCGTGCCGTGGCAAATTCACGTGTGCACGTTGCGCTATGGTTGGCCACGATAGTGGCACATGTACTGCTGTCCCGCTGAGCATAAGTTGCAAGAGTGAACATGCAGCTTTCTCACGTTCATGTCACAAAGGGAAAGCAGAGAGTGAAATTCAGGCTATTAAAATTGCGAAGAATATATCATATGCGGAAGCCAGAAGGATAGTCGGTGGCTCTCAACCCCGAATAGGGATGTTTTTCGCTAGTTCTGTCAAATTAACACGGTCTGTCGG